TTGAAATGGAGAGGTCACAATGTTTTCCTTGCATTGCCTGAAGAAGAAATCCCTCCAGCGACACTATAAGTTTTGGAATTACTGTTTGCTCCGACCAGACCGTTTTCAATGATAGGCTTTGTCCAAACCTATTCGATCTAGAATGGCCACCACAGACAGAGCAAAAGCCAGAGCATGGAGATGAAAAGAAGAGCTATTTTATCGAGCCTCCAGCTCCAGATTCTCATACCTTTAATTTCTCCATGCCTGATCATGTTGATACATGCGTCTTCTGGGACGTCGAGGATTACCCACTCCCTCCGGGTATCTCACTCCATGTGTTTTATAAGAATATCATAAGAGCTTTTCGTTCTCGTGTTCCTTCTTCTTCTGGATCCCTGTCGATCTACGCCTATGTCGTGAAAGAACCAGAATTTGCTCCGCGTGGCCCCAGAGCGATAATCAATTTGGTATGCAATGCTCCAGCAGACAGATTTGCAAGACTTGCTAAGATTACAATGGATTTTCTTTTGTGGTCAATGGACAATCTTACCGAACGTCACTATCCTCTTCTACCCCGCCCAAATTTGTTGGTAATCACGAAACGCTTGGAAGATGACATATTGTGCCTCGGGTCTACACTTCTTGGGTTGAAATGGAGAGGTCACAATGTTTTCCTTGCATTGCTTGAAGAAGAAATCCCTCCAGCGGCTACGTATGATAAGCATGATGTTCCATTGTTGTCTTGGGAAGACCTATCCGCAAATAGAAAGCGGAAGAGCAGAGAGGGTGATTCTGATGAGCAAATCATTTAAACTAAAACTTGAATGATCATCCTGTATGCAGGGGCGGCGCTGAGCTGGAGCAACAGAAGCAGCCGCACAGGGCCCAAAATTTTGGAGAAATTTTTAGGGCCCAATTTTTTGTATATATTGGTTAAAAGGCCCAATATTTTAACATTTCTAGAATGTTCCACTGTAGAAAACGGCTATATTTACAGATCTTAATTGTTTTTCTTTTCTCTAATTATATATATTTAACACATAAACAACGATTTCTTTTCCACTCTTCTCAAATCTAACCTAATCGGTTAATCTTCTTTATTCCTAATTGTTTAATATTTCTACCAGTGATTTCTCTTGATTTGTTCAATATTCAATTCCTTCAAGCCTTCTAGAGTTCCAATTTCCAGATTCTTTCTTGTTTCTCTTATTGCTGGTTTTGGTCTGTCCACGATTGTTTGGTTTGTTTGTGTCAATTTTTTTGTTATAGTCTTTGAGAAATAAGTAATAACTATGAACAATAGTCAAAAAACTGGATATGCCAAAAGAAAAGAGAAAGCAGAACTAGAGAAATTTATCAATTCCCAGAGAGGATCATTGGATAGGTTTTATAAACCAATTCCAAAGACTCCAATATCTGAAAAAGTACTGATAACTTAGCGAAAGATGGTATTGATATTGAAGTTGATATTGGAAATACATTCGTTGATAGAAATAATATCGAAAATTCAAATGTTGCTAATGATAGTAAGTGTGGTGGTGATCAATCTATTAGTGATGTTGAACCTAATGGTGACGATTGTGTGTTAGATATTTATGATGTTCGAAATTGGAATTCTCTTGATTCGAAATCATTTGATAAATTAGCGATTAATGGTCGTAAGAGAGATTTATCAATTGTGAAAGGTCGTAAAAACAAAACAAC